AATGGTTATCCGGAAAAAACATTTCTTTTGAAACAAATATGGTGAAAAAGGAACTTTTGACACTTGTCAATCTTAATAAAGATCAGAAAAAATATGTTATCGATGAAATGGCAACAAATCGCCAAATAACGGTACTACGGTTACCACCTTATCACTGTGAACTTAACCCAATCGAATTAGTCTGGGCGCAGGTAAAAGGAGATGTAGCGCGAAATAATACGACGTTTAAATTAACTAACAAGAAAATTTTGTTAAAAAATTCCTTGGAACGAGTAACTGCAGATAACTGGCAAATATGTAAACATCATGTACAAAAAGAAGAGGAGAAAATGGGGGAACTCGATAATTTAATTGACGTTACTGTGGAACTAGTACGTCGGGTACACCAAAAAAAGCTGCACTTTTTGATTGGAATGTGCCACTTTATGTGGTTACATTTGATGCCAAAAGGTAACTTTCCAGATAGGGAGCCACTTGAAAATCCGTGTAGAACACCAAAATGGCGGCCATTACAGATGGCCGCCATTAGCCGCAATAATTTTCTTGTATCTCAGCTCCTAATTGTCCGATTTCGATTTTATTTTTTTTGTTTGAAAGCTCTTGTAAAGGGGACACTTTTTTGTCCCTATATATTTATATCTACACCTTAAAGGTTCTGCACAATTTTCAAAAACCTGAAAATTTCACTTTTCTCACTAATTTCGTTGATAAGTAAGTTATTAATTGTGCCCACTACCCCTTTCCCCACAAAAAAGGGTTTATGTATATGGGGTTGTGTATATGGTAAGAAAGACTTGTTTCCATAAACAACCCTGATTTTATTGATTTTTTTCCACTGAATGACATCATTGGACCCGAATTAATTACTTATCGCTGGGCGACCTCGACAACAGGTTCAGATTTTGCTGGGGGGCGTTGATACCGGTTTTTTAATTACAAGACGAGATTTTAGATGGTCTTGAAATTTTTTCCACTGAATGACATCATTTGACCCTAACTAATTTCGCCGGGCGACCTCGACAACAGGTTCTGATTTTGCTTTGGGGCGTTGATACCGGTTTTTTAATTACCAGACGAGATTTTAGATGGCCTTGAAATTTTTTCCACTGAATGACATCAGTTGACCCGACAGTTAATCGTTTTTTAATGAGATTTTAATTGGGAAGAGACCTTGAACCGACTGAATGACCTCATTTGACCCGATAAATCATTAGCACTAATGGCTTTTTAATTGAATGACCTCATTTGACCCGGAAGTCATTAGCACTAATGACTTTTTAATGGGTTTTTAATGAGATTTTAATTGGGAAGATACCTTGAACCGACTGAATGACCTCATTTAACCCGAGAAATCATTAGCACTAATGGCTTTTTAATTGAATGACCTCATTTGACCCGGAAGTCATTAACACGAATGACTTTTTAATGGGTTTTTAATGAGACTGGCGGGGAAGGAAAGGGGGAAGCGAAAAGGAGGAGGAGTGGGGGTGGTCTCAACCGGCGCATTACCTATTTTAATTGACTGATAGTCAAAGCAGGCTGAGTTGCTCTAGTTGTGTTCTCTACTGAAGTGTCACCATGGAGTAAATAACACACTAGAGCCAGAAGTTCTGGAGGAACGCTTGCAGTTTGTTGATCATCATTAAGGTGACCATTAAAAGTAACTTTTTTCTGGGTTATTACTTTTCTAATTTGTTTAATGAATCTTTCGCATGCAACAGCATCATCATCAAGGTTTTCAGAATGAACATTTTGAAAAATATTAGCACCATCTCGGTGCAGGAAGTATTCTCTGCCTGAAAGTTGAGCTTTGAGTTGTGGGAAATGTTCGAGAATTCTCTCACGTAGACGGGTAGTATGTGTATTTGGAAGGTCTTTATTTTCCACGCCCAGAAGATTTGCTAGGTTGTTTGTATAAAGAATTTGAAGATCAGGCATTTTGAATACAATCTCAGTGTTTTCAGTTTCAGAGGCCTGGATTTTCTCTCTCATGAAGCGCGCAACGGAAGCAAAGGCCATACTTTCGCAGATAGAGTTTGCTTCTTTGGCAACTAAATCGCCACCCTCGAGGAATGCTTTAAGTTCAACGTTATTGGTAATTTCGGCACATCTCTTAACTTTATCGTCTTGTAGAGAAGAAACCTTATATAAAGATTTTCGAGTAGTACCCTTCTTATTGCAAATAAAACATATTTCATCTTTCATTTTAATAGATAATGTTGTAAACTAGTAAACCTTCATAATAGAATGAAAACAAATTTAAGAGAACGCCACAAATCATCAAATTACGAAGAGACCTAAAATTTAAAAAATATTTGTTTTTTTTTTAAATGTGCAGAATCCTTAAGGTGTAGAGATAAATGTATAGGGACAAAAAAGTGTCCTCTTTACATGTGCCTTCAAACAAAAAAAATAAAATCGAAATCGGACTGTTAGGAGCTGAGATAAAAGCAAATCAGTGCAGCAAATGGCGGCCATCTTTAATGGCCGCCATTTTGGTGTTCTACACGGATTTTCAAGTGGCTCCCTATCTGGAAAGTTGCCTGTTGCCATCAACTATGACCACAGAAAGTGGCACATTCCAATAAAAAAATTCAGCTTTTTGGCGTTTTTAGCCGTGTACCCGACGGCGACGTACTAAACCTATCGTTATCAATCTAGGAGACGAAGATAATTCATCAGAATATTCAGAGGATGAATTTTAATATACCTACTTTTTTATTTTCTTTATTGTACATTTATACAACACTACATTTACTCACCATAATTTGAATTTTCAAAATACATATATTTTTGTGTGGAATAAAAGTCTATTCATTAAATTTAAATAAATATTTTGATAATAATATTGAATAATTTTATTTGAATTACTAAAAACCCTCTTAACCCGGTTATGATGCTTAAAGTAGCCTCATGTTTTGAAATGCTGTTTTTATATTGTTTACTTATAAGAGAAATGGACCGAGAAATTGAAGCGGCATAGACAAAGACGGATTGTCGGGGATTAAATTTTAGCTACCTGCTACAATTTAGTACAACCCGGTCACACAAAGTTTTTTTAAAAGTACACCTCATCTATACCGATAATACATAATATAAAAATATTGAATATAAGCACCAGTACTACATTTATTTACGATTTGCATACATAATGAGCTTTTATTACTCTCTTTCATTTCTAAACAGACTATAGAAATTATTGCACTATGTTCAATTCTAAATAAAAAAGGTATACATGTTACAAATCGATAAACTCAACCGTTTTCGAGATACAGACATTTTAAGTTTTTGATATTCGGCGCGAATTAAAAAATTATTTTTTCCAAAGTAGTAGGCATTGACATAATAAATTGACAGCACATTATACTCGAGAAGTTAGAGAATATCTTAAAAAAAATTTCCCGCACCGTTGGATTGGACGCGGTAGCAAAGTACCTTGGCTTAATCTCTAGTTTACAGAGACATTATTAATAGTTAAGAAACACTATGAACAAATATTCAAGAATCAGTTCATATTATCAAACAACATAGAATTTTATTTAATATCAGATAAAATATAAATAAGTGTATTGAAGTCGCTAGTGGTTGCTTTCAGAATCTTTTATGAATAATAATTTGTTAAGATATGCATAATAAAATTTTCAGTTGCTGTAATATTTGTCTTAATTCTTAATTCAGGCTTGGTATCTGAAGACCCGCTAATTTTCTAATTTAATTTCCGCCGAATCTCGAAAAATTTAAAACGCTGAGTTTATCGATATATAACAAGTATATCTTATTTTTAGAATTGAACGTAGTTCAATAATTTCTAGATAAAAAATTCAAAATTGTAAAATACAAAAAGTTAGACATATTTTTACATTGATAGGACAGTATAATTAACACCCACTAGACGTGACCTCAATTATGTTTCCATATTCGTATTCACCACTTCAAAAAACATAAAACTACTAATTTTCAAAACAAGCGGTCCATACATACTTAAAATATAGCAAAATATCGAAAATATTTTTTCAACTTTAACACCCTGTAGAACGAAAAGGAGCAACAATTGCCTAAGGCATGTTTCGCTCAATCGCTATATTTTGACGTCAATCTGCCATTAAACTGTGTACCATTATTAATGACTCACCCTGTAAACTGTTTTCAAATTGTGTGATATAGTTCAGACGAAAATGAATCTCAGCCAAGTCTTCTGATAAAATTATTTAAAGACAAAAAAATATTTATATTTATTTTATTTTTTACTATGATATTATATAGAATCAACAANAAATTCAACACCCCGTATCTTTTAACCGAAGGCCTTGCAGACCCATGTTCATAGGAACTTTTTTTCTTATTTTAGTGTCCTCTATTGTGTGGCACTATGCAATGTACTTTTTTCTATGTCACCCTGTATAGAATCAACAATACTGTGTTTTTTTTGTTCAGGTAATTATTGTATCTATCTAGGTTAAGTGCACGTGGAATATTATGTTGCTTAATTCTTTACATTATTTTAAAAAGTTAATGATGCTCTGTCAATATACAAGAATACACTTTAGTTAATTGATTTTTAATAGTCTGCTTAGAAGACTGACATATAGACAATCTGGATGCAAGCCATGAGCGTGCTGATTGAATTTTGCACCATTTATATCCGTCGATATATGGAAATTTTAAATTCGCTATTATTAAATATTTAGTTTGAAGCAAGGCAACAATATTTAAAATACAAGATATTCCATATTTTCCTGTTAAACAAATACATTATATTTTATATATAAAATTAGAAATAAGTTGTTATAAACACAGGTCCATATTGCTTCTTAAAGGAGCTACAGCCGCGGAAGATGAAGCGTGGAGGGCCTTTTTATTCAAAATCTTCTAAATATGAAGAAATAGATATATGCAATTTTGTTAAATAATTTGATAAAGAGTAAAATTCATAATAAAATACAAATAAGTACACTACACAAGAGGAAGAATAATCTTCACAAATAAATTTTATTATTTACCTTATACATTCGTCTGGATAAGCAACACAATCTGTTAAACATCTAAATCTTTGCCAGTGCATCCATCCCATTGGTGGTGTTAGAGCCAGTCCATTGTCCAAAGATTGCACGTAAGTTGTCGAACAAAAAAGTATAAGAACACCAAATTTCAAAGACATTTTTATTATACGGAAGTCTAAAAAGTAAATAAGTATTTGTATGTTTCACGTTTTTCATTATCAGTTATAGCAATAATACCCAAAATATCTTCCTTGGTTCTAAAAAAATACGCGTTTTTATTTCTAGAGATTTGCATAAGTCAATGTCTAGATGTAATAGTCTAACGTATGAATAAAGACTTTCATGATATCTCAAAACTGTGATAGTATACAGGGTGTTTCTTATGCCACTATGGTGACTTTAGGGGCACATTCCTTGAATTATTTTAAGCAAAAAAGTTAAAGGGATAAAATGAAATTGCATTTCAAAGAAAATGGATATCTTCCATTTTATTCTAATAACGAATCATTTTCGAATTATCTTATCGACTCATCACCTAAGTAATTAATTAAATTTAAAATATCACCAAAACTGATTCACAAAAAAAGTACAGAAACTTTTTGTTCTAAATTTTATTTTAAATGGTTTTAAATTTAAGAAAAAATAACGCGAAAGCACTTATTTTTCGAACAATGCAAGATAACCTTTTTCTTTACACACACAAAAAAAAACACCATTAAGAATCTTTCAAAAATAGAATGGAGTATAAAATAGGGGTTTTCCGCCATTGATTGACTTATTTAATTTACTAAACACTAACTTGAAAGGCATGAATTTTCCTAAAATATTTTATAAAATATTTCTATTAAATTTCAACACTCTTATCTTGAAAACTGGTGGCTTTAGGCCTCTGGCTTATTATCAATTTTTTCTCAAATGATTCAGGGAATATCACCTTAAAGCTTAATACTGACTAATAAAAACACCATAATTTTTTGAAAAAAAGTTTATATAAAAATTTATCTATGATTATATATCTATTATCTTCAAAATATCTCGAAACAATTTAGGTTCACTCTGTATAAAAAAATATTGCTATAAAGAAGAATGTAAATTATGAATACTTTTCTTGAAAACAATCTTTTAATTTTTTTATTCAACACCAGTGTCAATTATTTCCTATTTCGATAACTTTTTTTAAAATTAAACAAAAAAATAGTATTACAACAATTAATAAAAGATTAAAATAATAATTATACTAGATTTTTTTCTACTTATATTACATACTTCGAAATGAAGAAAGAAAATATTGCTTTAGAATGATTGTATTATTTAAATGTTTTCAGTGTAAAGGAAAACAAATGTTTATCTCTAAGGTCCTCATAGAAATGGTAAATTCTAGTCAAATTATAATGTAATCTAATATGGAATTATGTACTTTCTATTTTCCTATTTTATCTTTTAAATGGCTCTTTCAATGAACTTTTCGATTTGATTTTATGAAAATGTATTATCTTTATTTGTTTCGAATATAAATAAAAAATGTGCAAACTTACATAGGTAGGTATATCAAGTCGTAAATATTAACTCGTTTTTTACTACTTAGATTTTGTTATAGTAATTAATTCAACTGTAGGTTATTTTCGTAGGCGTTAAAGCAAGTTATCAAATGACACAAAAGTTGAATTTGACTGTAACGTGAGTACCTACATTTAATATCAGAGTAATAAATTTCCTATTTTATCAATAGATACTTGAATATTGTTTAACAATCGAGTGTTTATTAACATTTTAAGTACTAACAATACTGCAATATATATAATTTATTAGGTATTGCTCTCAACAATTGGTTTTTAATTGTATATAGATCCGTCCTAAGTACTTAAAACGTACAATGCCCCAGCTGAACCTTGTTTTCCTAATTGTTACATCAATATCGTACATCTAGTTAAACAAAATGTCAGTTACAGACATAATGATTTTGTTGAAGATCTTAAGAAAACCGAAAACACATTAAAATAAGACATTTTACTAAAACTGTATTAGCCACTACGATTATTTAAGAAATTGTAAAAATTTCATTTAGCTATTAGTAAATAACCTACTATCGAAATAAATGAAATAGACCCCTGAGTTTGGAAACCGATATTAAGAAAACGTAGGGGCAAAAAAATTTGAAATTTGGACCTTATATAGCCTCACTATTACTCTATTGTGTGCTAAAATTTCAGTCAGTTTCGTTATCTTATCCCATTTTTCAGTTATTAATGATAATGTTGAAAAAATCACGGTTTTCTGCTTTAACAAATTTTTTCAGATTGTTATTTACAGTTATCTACTACCTATGTCAGTTTTTTTCTTTTTTAAAGAACGCAATATTTACGGAGATGGCACTCCCTTCTGTTTTGCTTAAGGGCGCCATATTCTTTAAATAGCGTTTTCCGCAAAGACAAATAATTTCAAACATTTAATAACTGAATAATCTAAAGCTTATCAAATAATAGGAATGTTATGTCATGCCATCAGGGTATTTTCAAAGACGCCGCAGTAAAACGAATAAACAGGTGCAAAAAACGATCAAACCATCAAGGTTTTAGGTATTGAAATCTACGAAAATACTAACTTTTTTATATACAACTCCACATGTAAATATTCTTATAACATGTACTTGCTTAGTCCTACATATGAAATTGTTTACTTTTATTTATAAGTACGTGAAAATAATGCTTAAAATGTGGGGTTAGGATAACAGCAAACGCATGTTTTACAAACGCTTGAGTAAATTTAAATAATAACAATGAATAAACAGAATATCAAGGTTTTTATTTTTGTGCTTACTTTTGTTCTACACGTTTTACTTTTCAAGATTTCAGTACCTACCTACCTAAAAACGCCAGAAATTTGACTATTTCTCGATCAGGGATATGGCCACCTTGAAAATAAAAAAAGAAGAGCTTTTGAGACAAATGACCTACTCAGTACTAAAGACAATAGTTCGACTTATCGTCAGTAAAAATTTGGAGTTTTTTAATAAATTAACAAAAAAATTACGACGAGTTAAAGTGAGAGGTATCAATTTTGTAGGCAGAAAACCGTGATTTTTTCTGCATTTTCATTAATAACTAAAAAATGGGATAACTAAACTAACTGAAATTTTAGCACACAATAGAATAATAGTGATGCTATATATGGTCTAAATTTCAATTTTTTTTTGCCAATACGTTTTGTTAATATCGGTTTCCAAACTCAGGGGTCTATTTCATTTATTTCGATAGTAAGTAGATGTCAGAGTTGAAAATTTTGCCGAGCATTCCACGACAAAATAGCATAATTATAGGTTGGCATGTTGAATGAGCGTCGATAGTAATGTCAGAGAACAGATAAGTATCTGTTCTCTGGTAATGTATTCACCTTTTGACACAGGCGTACATGTTGTTTTCTGGAAAATGAAATGAAAGCTTTTTGTTTTAATAAAGATGCACTAATACTCTTTACCTCAACAAATAGGTGCACTAGAGAGATAAGTTTATACATATGTAAGACATGCATAAAAGATTCGTCTTAATGTTAGACTTACAATTAATTAAAAATAGTCAATGGCATTTTATAAATTAAACAGGAATTAACACACTTCTCGACTGAATTTCGGAACTAGAAATGGTAACATATTCTGCCTACAGATCGCTTTTTCTTAGGTCGTTCAACTTTTAAGTCTATTTGGATGTACCATATAAAATGTAAATCTTTGTTTGTGATATTTGCACGTGTATGTACAGCAAACAACATTTTATTAGATATAGTATATAAACTCAACAAAAACATTAAGGGATCAGAAATGTTTTCAAATTTTTTAGCTGAATAATGGTTGTATCGAAAAAAACAAAAAAGCATGAAGAAGCTTGAAGATTCTAGTTTTTAATTCTTGTGATGAATATTTTTTTGAGCATCACTCTCGGCGCAATTAAATGCAAGGCAAAAATTATAGTTACAATTTTTTTTCAAAACTGACCATGGCCTTAGAAAATTTTTTTTCTGGTTTAATCAATGCCAGGGTTATTTGGCCTGATTCTTCAGCTTCAATTTCGTTTTTTTAGTTTTCGGTATGATTATTTCTCATTGATATATCGGCTTTTGAGTAAAAAGTCACTTTTTTATCATCTCATGAACTAATGATTGTACAGCGAATGGAAGATGGGTTTTGGAAACTTCAAGAGCCTTTTGGTATATTTGAGAAAAAAAAATGACTCGCTGCTGTTTTGGAAAATCAACAATTACTATGCAAATATTGCGAAAAGTACCAATGTTTGTAGGTTTTTTCCTTCATACATGCCCATGAAAAAAATTAGAGGAAATTTATTGCTTCTTAAACATCAATTAATGATTATTAAGATAGAAAAAAAAATTTGAGTTATTTTTCTCACAACTTCCCGTTAAATGCTCATCCAAGTACCGAAAAGAAATTCAAAATTTTGAACTAATCATTTTTGAAAAAAATCAAATTTTTCAAAATATTTAATGTGAAATTGTAAAAAAGTTAACGCAAACAAATTTTGAAAAATTTGATTTTGTTTTCAAAATTGATTTTTTTTTCTAGATTTTGAATTTCTGAAGTGCTGAGAAAAATGACGCAAACAAATTTATTTTTTTCATCTTAATCATCATTAATTGATGTTAAAGCAGTTTTAAAGAAAAGTTTGTAAAATTTTGCCTGGCGTTATTTCTTTTGATTGCGCCTAGACTGATGCTCAATAAAATATTTTATTTCAAGATTTCAAAACTAAAATCTTCAAGCTTAAAGGTGATTTTTTATTTTTCTCGATACGACCATTATTTACAGACTCAAAAATCATTAAAGAAATTTGGAAATTGTTTTGCTCCCTCAATAGTTTTTTCTGATATAGAGTAATGAAGTTATCCTTTAACTTAAATTGATTGAACTTTTACCAGTAATATCATTAATATTCGTAAATGTAATCAATTGGTATGCAAATTTCATTCAACTATGATTGATATTCTATAAACCAATAATTATTTACATTAAATATCTTCAGGAATATTTGAACAAGAGTAACATTTTTTAAATATCAACACTGGAAAGCAGGAGGTTTTGGAACACTGGGTTTTGGTCTAAAATAATCTAAGATAGATCTCCTGGACGACATAAATTTAAAAAGTATCTTATATCATAGGCATAGAAGACCGGATACAGATTTGCACAATTAAAAAGAATAATAATATTTTTTTATAATTAGCCTTGTTTGATTCTCAGAAAATATTATCAATTTTTTCACCTACCTACTCTTCTGTGTGTTATAATTATGATCAAGCAAAAAGTAAATAATAAATTATACCAACACTTAATACTGATAAAAATTATGAGTAATTACTTACTGATTTCGAACAATGTAGAATGTCTGTTGACTATGCACTTGAACACCTAATGATAATAGATTTTCAATCTAACAATTTCGTTGATAACATGGGTTCAACAAACTATCAACAAGAATGCCGGCTGTGAACTATAAAGTAGTTGCTCACAAATCGAGATTTTTAGCAGAAATTTGAATAAGGAATTTGAAGTAACAGAACTTTCTTGCATTTATAGGTTCGATAGACAAGTCGACTAACGGTTCACCATGGCAGTTTCTGTAACATAACTAAAAGTCAATTAAAATTGTTTGGAGTCAAGTTTATACGTATATTAATATTTTTATAATTTGCCTGTTTAGGTATTTTTTATATATTTAAAGATATTAATCTAATGTAAATTACAACAAATTTTCTCAAAAACCATAATTTGGTAATTTACGTGTAGAGGCATGCATATCAGTATATTTCTAGTTATTATTAATATAGTTTTTATATCTTTAGAACATGTTTTATTCAGTTAATTTGTATACCAAAACCTACTTATGTAATTGAAACGGCAAAAAAATTATGAGAAAACAACAATATTTTATAGAAAATAAAAAATATTTTATTAAATGTGGATTATTAATTATTGATAACCTTTCTGTCTTTTAGTTTACAATTTTTTTTCTGGTGGTGGGTTGGTCCATTTCTTCATTTATAAATTTGTTTTCTATATTATCTATAAAAAAAAGCACTTGTACTTCTATTCCCCACTCAAAACTGGTGGCAAGAAGCACCTGAACAGTGTCAAATCAGAAGTTCTTAAAAAAAGGAATTGATGATGGAAATTCGCAGATTAGCAAGGATAACGGAAAGGTTGTTAACTAGACACTGTAAACCAAGAAACCTCTGAGTAATATTAGGCTAGTTCAAGATGGTTTCTGTAGATCCTGCCGTGAGGAAAGAAAAATGACCGCTGTTCTTGGGTTGTGCGAATGTGAATGACTAGCAAGTGTGCACTATCAATTATCTGCAATAGAAAAATCGGAAGGTGGAAGCTGCGTGAAGGAGTGATGGGTTTCTATACTTCCTATAAAAATTGTGAAGCCTAATTCGAATGTCAAAGTTAAATGTGGAACTCCAAGGTCACGGAGGTCTACAATAGGTCTACGATTGGTCGCAGTGGAAAAGGATGATGCATATTAACTGCATGCATCTACATAATCCGATATCCTTTTCTAACATTTATTACACTTTTCGGATTATTCTTTTCTTATTGTTGGGGAAGGATCCATTAAATTTTATATAACAGTAATTAAGAGTGCTACTCAATTTACAAAAATATATGGACTCAATTATCACAAAGGAACGTATCAAAAAAAAAATATATATTTAGGTATTAGGGGATGTTTCCTGATATTCGACTAAAGCTGAAGAGTTACAAGTATCGATCAGATTTTTGAACATTCAAAATATGTCATGAGCCCTCGAATACGATGCGCCTACTTGCCTTGAGGCTTCGTTTAAACAGACTCCATCAATATGAAGTTTTAGTTGTTTGTTAGGCTTTAGAGGTGGTTTTCTGGGGCTGTACGGTTCTGAGAGGTTGCAAGGGTTAACGATGGTGGCTTTGAAACGTTAAATATCCATTGAGGCTCGTAAATATGACGTCAACCCGTTTCTAGGACTGTGCCCAAGAAGAAACCTACTCATAGAGTTTCCGCTGCTCTTTAGGTTTTATGGTTTGTTTTCTGTTAATTTAAAGAAACTGGAGGATGATGGAGCATTTGCCATGGCAGATTCGGTTTGTGTAGGTTCAGATATATAAGTTGGTATGAGTTTTATTTATGGACTAGCCATCTAATAATCACTTCAAAACGTCGTTACTCCATATCATCAAAATTTAATTTATACTTTTAGCACAACTGTTTTTATTTTAGATGGGCAACCTTATTAATTGCATGTGTCCAAGTATAAATTTCTGAGTCCAACAAATATGTTAAATACAAATAGGTACTTTTAAACTTTTTTCCTTGCCTATATTCATTTGTTTCTGTATTTTAACTGTAGCTGTAGCATTGTAGAAAGCTTTTATTTTCATTACTGTTTACAATTAAAAAAGAACAGGATATGTAAATAGCCCTAAAATATGATTTTATACTTTTAATAATAATAATTACCAATTACAAAGTTGACTTGATTCATATGTCACCATCATTTCTTTTTTTATAACAAGTATGATACTGTAGGAACAGTTTTTTACTGCTCATGAAAAATAATTCAACAGCCCCACAAAAACAGTACCTGGTCCGAAAGGCCAGATCATGATGTCCGTATGTTTTTGGGGTCGCTGAATCCGAATCTGAGGTCCGCTTAACCCAATCAGGCCAGGGTCAAGGCCAATCATAGGTCATATCTCGAAAAAAAAGTTAATGCAAAAATTCATTCTTATAAGTTTTTGGGGTCGCTGATTCCGAATCCAGCGTTAGATTATCAAAATCCAAGATGGCATATCCAATATGGCGGACCGAGTAGATATTTAAAATTTTAAAATATTGAAAAATAAATAATATTGTCTAGGTCTACATAAAATTTTAAGTAAAAAGAGTATCAATTTTTCGATTAGAAGCATATTTTTAGAGAGAAAAAATTCATGAATATTGGAATATTTTAATCTACCTATTTGATTGTTTTATGCTTGCGACCAATACAGATATTAGAAAATTTGTTTACGGTTAAAGGAGTTTTTGGGGTTGCTGATTCCGAATTAGGTGTCTTTTTAACTTTAATTTCAAGGTCAAATCGAGAAATTCTTGTTGTGAAGAAGAGGTTATTTTTGTAATACCGATTTCTATTGAACGAATAACAAAAACAAAAATAGTAAATCATCTAAGACAATGTTATGAGCGTGTCAAATTTAATATAGGTACTCGTATTCATCTAGATCTAATAAAGACAAAAAAACGAAGGAAGCAAGTAACAGCAATATTACTTACAACAATCGAAGTAGATGATAGTTGCGAAAAGACAAAATATTAAATTAAAAAAAAATTAGGAATCAGAGAAAGACAATAGTGAGAATGAAAGTATCGTTGACTATTCAAGCAATAATAGTAACGACGACTACATTCCTTATAGTGAGAAGAATAAGTCAGGAACAGTATCCCAAGAAAAAGTACTCTTACTACCGTAATAGAGATAAGGAATTTCAAAAATAATTCTCTTTCGGTAAGGAATTCTCCTTGGTCTACTGTGACGATATTACTGGCTTAATAAATCACTTGAAAAACGGATGTTATAAATCGGAAGAGTGGAGGCTATTTATTGATTGATTCATCAAAAAGAAGTTTAAAAGCTGTTCTACTGCATAATATAAATGTTAATGCAGCTATTCCTATAATAGCACATTGTTAATTAAGAAAGATTACTGTAACATGAAAGAACTCCTAGAGAGAATAAAATATGAACATAAATGGCAAATTTGTGGGGATCTCAAAATAATCACGATCATATTTGTACAACAGTTCGGATTTACAAAAATCCCACGTTTTTTATGTGAATGGGATAGTAGAGACCGAGTAAATCATTATATAAGGAGCATCTGGCCACCTACAATATCTTTCAAAGCAGGATCTAATTGTAAAAGTAGGTATATTAAACTAGCCCCTAGTTAGCCCGTCAAAAGTCCTTCTTCCGTCACTTCATATCATATTGGGTCTTATAAACCGATGGATGAAAGCTCTAAATAGAGGTGGCGATAGCTCTAAATATCTGCGAGAGCAGTTTCCTCTATTGAGTGATGCGAAATTGAAAGAATTAATTTTTGATGGTCCTTAAATTCGTAAGATGTTGAGAGATTCCGTTTTTGTTACAAGTTTGGTTTTATTTCAAGGATATCATCGACAATTTTATAGGAAATAACAAAGGTCTGAAATATAAAGTGACAAATTTAGTAGAAAAACCTAGGTCGTTTTAAGAATCTTAAATTACATTTTTTTATAAGACAGAATTATTTTTCGCATGTTTACATTTTTTGTAAAATGAAAAATGAAAAGTTGAAAAGTTCTTTCAACAAATAGGCTCAAGGTACTTTTTTGTGACGCAGTGTATCAAAATAATACAGTGACTATTTTTATGTTCGTAAAATATGTCACTTGATAAGTTATCGCTGCATTTTAAAACTTCTGTATTGGGTCTGTATGTTCAACGAATATTACTACATTTTGAAAATAAAAAATTTATTATACGTGCATTAAATGAATGCAGTGACATTTATAGGAACAAACAAATTTTTACGATACTGTGATAAACATATTCATACCTGGATTTTAAAAACTGAATCACGGACGATAACACTAAAGTATTTGAAGCAGTTGTCAGGTTATAGTGGGTAGATACCTACTATGAATGCTAACCTTAGTTAGTTCATTATTTATTGCATGAATAAATACATTTCTTAAACATTTTTAGGTCAGTGGGGTGGAGAGAGTTTATATTTCAACAAAAAGATTTGCCCTTGATATAATCAATCATAATGTGCAGTTTGTGCGATTGTCTGTTTAATTATTGAAAATAATAATGTTGTGGTAAAAAATTGTATATATCTAAATAATTGTTGAATTTGGTCGAAAGACAGCAGCAAATTTAAGAAAATTGGTGTGGTGAAAATCTCGGGTTATGCAATTCCAATTTTATGCCATTACTTTTTATGTTAAATGTAACACACTTTTAATTTTTAAGAATAAAGAAATAATTAAGTGATACGACTTTATTTCTCGTAGTCCATAAAGGATTATTTTTATTTTGCGAATTTACAGTGTGTATCCTAATTTATGTCATAAATTAAGAAGGCGATTCTTTGGGTCATTATAGGTCCAAAAGTCTTAATAAACCAGGACCCTAAAGTTACTAGTTTCCAAACTGGGGGTTAAAGTTTTAGAAAAATATCACATTTTTTCAATTATCTCTGAAGTTGTTTGACGTAGATTGACGAAACTTGGGGAATTGATGTATGTATCTAATTAAAGGTAATAATTCGGTATATTTTTATTTAAATCTGTCAACCACTGGTGGAGATTCAGGGAGCTTTGTCAATAAAACCGTCAGAACTGGATTTTCAAAAAAATTAATAGGCATGTTTAATTTACTGTCATATTTTTAATAAAAAGATCTTTTGCATTTTCTTAACACTATAAACTACTTTCGAGTTATAATTTTTTGTGTCCTATTTAATTTTAAAATAATTTCTAATAGGTATCTCATGGTTTTAAAAAAATACCTAAAAGTAACAGTACACGCTATATGTTCATTATCAGAAAAAATATGTTTACAGAAGGTGCTGAAAATGTCCAACATTGGCAGCAACACAAGCGACGAGCCTTCGCCTCAACGATTGTCGTACACTTTAAAAAATTGCTGACATTTGTCTGACTTGCTGACATCCATTTATGATTCGTTGTCTTAAATCTGCTTCATTTTCTACTAGTGTTTCATAAACAGTGGATTTGAGATGGCCTCATAAAAAGAAATCAAGCGGATTTAAGTCTGAAAATCGAGCAGGCCAAGGATAAGGCCCATTTCGTACAATCCATCGGTTGAAAAATTTTGTATTCAATCAGTTACTGGCCACTCTATTGAAATCAGCTGGTGCTTCGTCGTGCATAAACACCATTCTCTGTCTGGCTGCAATTGGAACATCTTCCAGGAGTTCATTCATGTGATTTTGTAAACATTCTCTAGAAGTATCATCATTAAGTCTTAGTGGTAGAAAAGCGAGACCAATTAAGAATTCACACACAATGACTGCTAAGACGTTTACTGAAAACTGATACCTACTGGTTCCTGCTTTCAATTATCATGTGGGGTTTTTATCTGCATAAAAGTGATTATTATTGTAATTTAAAATAACATCTTTCGAAAAGTTGCTCTCATCTGTAAACAATACCTGGAAGAAAGAATTTTGGTTTATCATGTTTTGCATCCATTGACATAATTCTATTCGGCGGGGTAAATCACGAGGAAGAAGTACTTGTACACGCTGTATCTGATATTCTTTCAAATTTCTCCAAATTGTTGTATGACTCACTTGAAGGTCGCGTGCAATGATTCTTGTGCTAGTCTGGGGATTATTTTCAATCTGTACTGTATATGTAATGACGCTGCTGAAGTTTTCATAAGCTAGCAAACTAACTTATTATTATTTTCTATCTAAGTGGAAAATAATCACTTATGGATATATTAACATTTTGTTGTCGTTATTCAAAAGAAGAAAGGCAAGGGTTAATTAATAATTATTAAAAGTTAGTTAAGTGCCTAGTATAATTTGTATAGATTAAAAAAAGGATAACACAATTTCAATTCATTTACAATATGTTTTTGTAGATCAAGAACATGATATTTAGAGACTGTGGCCTACCTTGACTTTTCAATAAATCATGAATAACATGTCCGCAAAAACGCCTGCTTCAGTAAAAGGATAATTGTCTACTCGAATTTCGAATAGACGTACTATGTCGAGTTATAATTTTTATATTCAGAGATATTTCCCACAATAAGGGTACGAACATAGTGGCGCGACGAGGCTTCAGTGTCAGATAAAGTCTAGGGACAAAACTTGCCGCTATGTGATTTAAATACATACATTGAATAGCATTGGGCAGTCTATAGCGCGACGAGTCACGCGTGTATCGCGGCGAGACCTCGAGGAGTCAAATCTGCCTTCTTATTATTTATTTCACGCGTCTTTACGCGACTTTTAATAAATTTCATTGTATTGGTACAATTCATATCTTTTATTTAACGAAGAAATACCTAAGTACTTGGAACCAATGCCATCTTAATCATTGTAAAGCAGTGCCGGATTAACCGTGAGGCGCATGAGGCACGCGCTTCAGGGACCGGTGGCCTAAAGGGCCCTGAAAAAAAATTGTTATGTATTTTTCCTTAACGTTAACATTTGTGATTCTGATTTTCCTACTAAGCGAAAATTTAAAAAACAAAACAATTACGAAACCGTAGTTACGTACCTACGCTTTTATGGCTCATATTGTCTCATGACGAAACTACCTGCATGTTTCGTTAATTTGATTGCGCAGCCACACAAAAAAAAAGTTGTTTGTACTTTACATACGACATATGTTATCCGTAGTATTTTTGCCTCCTGATCACGAATTCGGTGTCAGAATTGAGCTATCACATCACAGGAATTTCCTAACCTCAAAAAACAGGTCAAAAATAGCAAAAATTTACGAAAAAGTGCTGGGAAAAATAAAAAAAAAATTTTTCTATATTCAAATGTTCATTTACCTATAGGCGAGCCTATAGGTATGGTTAAACCCAGATATCACGAATTTTCAAAAAATAACAGATTTGCGCCAAATTTGGAATACGGGGGTTTTTCGAATAGCTGATCACGGATCAGAGGTGAATTTTGCAAAATTCAATATGGCGGATCCAAAATGATCGACCAAATTTTCAAAAAATAACCCATTCGCGTTAAATTTGGTATACGGGGGTTTTCGGGGTCGCTGATCACGGATCCGAGGTCAGTTTTGCAAAATTCAAGATGGCGGATCAAAGATGGCGAACAAATTTAAAAAAATAACATTCGTGCCAAATTTGGTACACGGGGGCTTTTGGGGTCGCTGATCACGGATCCGAGGTTAGAATTGCGAAATTCATTTTATAATATTTTTGTTTACCTTATATGTAACCTGAGTACCCAATCATGTTTTAACCTTCTTAAAGTACACAGGTAATTAATTAAATTTTAAACGAATTTTGTAAATCCGATCTCGGATCCATGATCAGCGACCCCGAAAATTGAAAATTCGTGATATCTGACCTTAATTGACCCGTTTTTTTTGAGGTTAGAAAAAGAACCATCAATTTTGACCGCGGATTCACGTTCGGCGGGGTCTTAACCATATAAATGACCATTTGAATATAGAAAAAATTTTTTTTTTATTTTTCCTAGCTTCTTTTCTTAAATTTTTGCTATTTTTGACCTGTTTTTTGAGGTTAGGAAATTCCTGTGATGTGATAGCTCAATTTTGACAACTGATTCGTGAGCAGGAGGCAAAAATACTACGGATAACATATGTCGCATGAAAAGTACAGATTGTTTTTTTTTTGTGTGGCTGTGTTGTCAGAAGCTGCAAAATACTTTTAAAGCAGTAATTTTCCAAATATTTTCTGGGTGACGAGCCCCGCCCCGCACCCCACTCTCGGTTTCTACCCTATATAGGGGGCCCGCCAAACCCTTGCGCCTCAGGGCCTAAGGCACTGTTAATCCGGCTCTGTTGTAATGTGTGTATTCTAGATAAGTTATGAGATTAGGTAATTTTTGAATTTCAATGAATAGGTATAAAATTTCATTTCAAATAAATTTTCTTAACTTTTTCAATTTTACGTTAAATGTTTATTTTCTTACAATTATTTGTGATTTTGCAAGGAATCAAACAAAATGTTAACAAATAATTAGCATAATATACTTCCAAATCGAATCTGTTCATATATTTTATGTATACATTGCGTTCCAATTTGAAACTCGTATTTTAGTCTACATTTACCGATTAAATTTTTTTTTAATATGTAGTACTTGAAGGGAATCTACCTTTACTGTGTTTGAAAAACTGTAAAAAATGATAAAATCGAATCGGGCATTTTTTTGTAAGAAAACGTTTAATAGCTTAATCGATTTCTACGCATCCCAAATTTAAAATTAAGAAATATTGTCACAAGTTCTAATAAATTATAATTTTATTAATGCCCCCTATGCCTACATAATTATTACTACTGCACCTTAAGCTATTTATTTTTATAATAAATTGTCCCATGTTCGATGTGATTAAGTATAAATAAGGAATCAAAAGTGCAGAACGGAACGACGACGGCTTTTCTGCATTAACGATTATTATTTTCATTCTTTCTGAAATGAAGAGCACATAATATCAGACTCTTTCCATTATGTAAAAGCAAACATATTTGTCCTATACAGGACATTAAAAAATTATAATTTATTAGAAATGGTAATTTCCATAACAAACACCCTTGGCATTTAAGATGCATACAAATCGATTGAGCAAATGTTTTCTTTAAAAAATGTCTAATCATTCCTCGGGTTCAACGGGCATTTTATTAAAATTGTTTCAATTTTTGTTTAAATGAGCAGTAATTTATATAATTATATGTCCTTAAGTCCATCCTCATATACTCAAAAAAGTGGTCTGGATATTTTTTTAATTCATCGAAAAGCCGATGGTATTCTCTCTTAATACGTTTCTTTTTTTTTATTAAGATCGTACACACTACACCGTCTACTTAGTAATAATACTTTTGCCGCACAACTGTCCAAAATAATATCGTCTTCATTGTCTGAAT